TCTTCTCCTTCTCCTTCTCCTTCTCCTTCTCCTTCTCCTTCTCCTTCTCCTTCTCCTTCTCCTTCTCCTTCTCCTTCTCCTTCTCCTTCTCCTTCTCCTTCTCCTTCTCCTTCTCCTGTTTTAAAGCACGAATCATTTCCCCCTCTCAGCTCCAGGGAATCTGGTCCTCCCAGTGGACGATTTCTAACCTCAGCTGCAGCACCCTCTGCCCAAGGTCTGCCCCTTCGGACCCCTCTTCCCCGCGCTCACCTCGCTGGAGAAACCCAAGCCGAGCGTCACGATCCAAGAGGAACTGAAAACGGGGCAGATAAATTGAAAGGTTTGAGCTGTGTTCCAAAGTACCAGTTTTTCTCAGGTTGTGTGTGTCTTACTGTAACTATAGTGGCTTTGTTTGGGTGGCAGGGCAACTTCTAAGTGTTTCTGGGAAGGACACTCTTGTGAGCAGCCACGTCATAGAATCATTCAGGTTGGAAGAGACCCTTGGGATCATCGAGTCCAACCATCTACCCTGCTCTACAAAGTCCTCCCCTACACCATATCCCTCAGTACCCCATCTAAATGTCCCTTAAACACCTCCAGGGATGGTGACTCAACCACCTCCCTGGGCAGCCTGTTCCAATGCCCGACCACTCTCTCTGTGAAAAATTCCTTCCTAATGTTCAATCTAAATGTGAAATATGATGTGGCAGAGTCAGCCCAGGGCGAACGCAACGTGATACAGCAGCTTCCTCTCAATGAACTTCTGGGGAAGTTAAAAATAGTGACTGCTGAGGCTTAAAGTTCCTCTCCCACGTGGATGAGGCAGAGCAGTCACTAGGCTTCCTGAAGATATTACCCTTCCACACCTTCCAAAACACTGGGGTTTCAGCTTTGGGGTAAATTTTGACTTTCGGCCTCAAGTTGCACCAGGGGAGGTTCAGGCTGGATATTAGGAAAAATTTTTTCACGGAAAGGGTTCTCAGGCATTGGAATGGGCTGCCCAGGGAGGTGGTTGAGGCCCCATCCCTGGAGGTGTTCAAAAGACGGGTTGATGTAGTGCTGGGAGGTATGGTTTAGTGATGGTGATGCTTCTTGTTTGTTGTGTGGGTGTCTATTTTTATCAGTGAGGTCGACGGTTGAACAAGATGATCTTTAAGGTCCCTTCCAACCTAGAAGATTCTGTGATTCTGTGAAATGTCTTAAGCATTGCTCTGGATATATATTCCAGTTTTGCATTAAATAGGTAGTTATTGATCCCTCCATATCAATCAAGGCCTTTTCTTTAGTTTTCTTGACATAAATTGATAATATATAGATGGAAATGGAAACCCTTTAGCAGAACAAGCTACAACATGGTCCTTGGAGTTGTCAGGGTCTCAGACCACTGTGGCTTTGAGTAGATTTTCTGCAAGAGGCGTAACAGCTCAGAGGTGCCTTGGCTACTACTCACTGGTAACTGGCTACTCATGGTCCATATTGTCACTTGGGTGCCCCAGAAACACTTCTTTTCAAGGCAATTCCCATTTTCTTCTACTCACTGAGAGAGAGCATTGTCTGCGGCGCTGAAACCACGGGCTTGGAAACAAGGAGCTCCGAGTTCTGATCCCAGACCCGAAGCTGTGGCACGAAGCTCCGTATTGCGCCCGTCTGTGCGATCGATTAATTAATTAAATCAATCAATCAGGGAGAGGTCAGAGTGGTGTTTGCTAGTGCTATCTTTTTTAATAAAATGTGGGGTTTTTTGAAAGGAGGAAGCATAATTCTTTGATTTGCAAGTGTGTTTAAACAACCTAGTAAGGAGGCATCAGAAAAAAAGGACTGGGATTGATTTCTGACTTTTGACTGAGCATCAGTGATACTGTCAGAGTTGGTGCATATGCTCTTTCTTTTCTTTTCCTTTTCTTTTCCTTTTCTTTTCCTTTTCTTTTCCTTTTCTTTTCCTTTCCTTTTCCTTTCCTTTTCCTTTCCTTTTCTTTTCTTTTCCTTGCCGCAGTGTGGAGTGGTGTCCACGGAAGAGCTCTGGTTTCCCTCACCGTGCAAATCCAGGAGTTGGCCAAGGCTTCTCCTCGTTTAAGTAGGATCAACCAAAGGAAACATCCCAGCTCATGGTAAGTTCTGGATCCGTTCAGAGAGCCTGACCTTAAATTCCAGTGAAGCCTGTAAAACAACTCAGCTCTTTATGAAGTCATTTCCTTTCTGTAGAGCAGCTGGTTGTATCCTTGAGCTGAAGAACAACAGCTCTTCTGAGGCACCGAGGGCTTCTTTATCATTGATTTTGGCAGAGTAAAAAGCAAGGCTGCTCGGTGGCCTGGGTTCAGAGGGAGTTCAGAGCTGAAGCTGCAGTTTCAGCCTTAGGAGGGTTTTTTTTTGCTGAAGCAGTTCAGCAAAGTGGGTACCTGACCACCCCTGAATGACTCCCTCACCTCCACGGTTCCTTCAGCAAACCCCAAGGGGATCTTCACGGCCGCTTTGAGTCTGTCAATGACCTTCCAGACCTGTCCTGCCTCCAATCCCCTCGGGGCGGAAAAGGACCAGCCCTTGATGGCCACTAGAAGCCAAGTCCTTCTCATGATTGATTGATTCCACTGAACCTTTGCTGTTGAACAGGAACACTGATTTTGATATATTTCTCTTCAACCAAGCAAAGTCTATCAAATATTATTTCTAAATCCATTTCTGATTAACTTTCCGCCCCAAAAAAAAGTTATTTATTTGTAACTTTATTAAAAAGTAATTTCTCTATTTCCCAAAGCTGGAAATTATTTCCCCAGACACTTGCCACTGGGAAATGGCGTAGTATTTTTCCTAACAGCCACGTGACCGTATCTTCCATTAATTTCTCTCTTTCCTCCCCCTCCAATATTATAGATTTAATTGATGTGTGGGAGCATCAGGACCTCTGATAATATTGTCATTATTGTAGTACCAGTCAATTATTTTGACGAGGGATTTTGCGAAATGTTCAGAGTTAGGTTGGGAGTGAAAACTAGTTCCAAGTCTTTCTTTTTTAATAAAATGTGGGGTTTTTTGAAGGGAGGAGGCATAATTCTTTGATTTGCGAGTGTATTTAAACAACCTAGTAAGGAGGCAGCAGAAAAAAAGTGCAATTATTAAGAACTGGCTGAAGCTGTAAGTAGTGTGTGAAGATTTCTTCTTCTGTACATGGAGCAGAGCTCTCTGACAAGGAAATAAAACTCTTGAGTTAATGTTTGTCCTGATTAATTATCATTAACAGACACAGTGTGGCCCCTTTGCCCGAGCAGCTTTCCCCCAGGAGGACTTTGCATGCAGGGAAGATGTCACGCGTGCCGCAGTGTGGAGTGGTGTCCACGGAAGAGCTCTGGTTTCCCTCACCGTGCAAATCCAGGAGTTGGCCAAGGCTTCTCCTCGTTTAAGTAGGATCAGCTAAACCATATTCTTGAGGACCACGTCAACCCGTCTTTTGAACACCTCCAGGGATGGTGCCTCAACCACTTCCCTGGGCAGCCCATTCCAATGCTGGATAACCCTTTCCATGAAGAAATTTTTCCTAATATCCAAACTAAACCTCCCCTGGTGCAACTTGAGGCCATTTCCCCTTGTCCTATCTCCTGTGACTTGGGAGACAAGACCGACCCCCACTTCTCTACAACCTCCTCTCAGGTAGTTATAGAGCGCGATAAGGTCTCCCCTCAGCCTCCTCTTCTTCAGAAGGTGGTCTGGCTGTGGGGTGGGTTGACACAGATGCTGCTCACTGTATCAGCTTTTTTGCTGCTTTACAGGTGATAGTAGTTTTGCCAGGGTTGTGGTTAATGAATTAGTACCAGGTGCCTTGTGGTTCATACCCAGGAAGGCCAGGGGTGATCACACCCCTCCCTTCAATTGTGGCCAAGAAGACCAATGGTCTCCTGGGACGCGTTGAAAAGAGTGTGGCCAGCAGGTGGAGGGCGGTCATCCTCCCCCTCTGCTCTGCCCTGGGGAGGCCACATCTGGAGCACTGGGTCCAGTTCTGGGCACCCCTGTTCCAGGACAGGGAACTGCTGGAGAGCATCTAGTCCAACCCCCTGCCAAAGCAGGGCCACCCAGAGCAGGTCCCACAGGAACGTGTCCAGGCCGGTTTTGAATGTCTCCAGAGACAGAAGCTCCACCACCTCCCTGGGCAGCCTCTTCCAGGGCTCTGCCACCCTCAAAGGAAAGAAGTTCCTCCTCATGTTGAGTTGGAACTTCCTATGCTCCAGTTTGTGCCCATTCCCTCTTGTCCTGGGCACCACTGAAAAAAGCCTGGCCCCATCCTCCTGACACCCACCCTTCCAGTATTTATGGGCAAAAATACTTAAAATTTGCTGAACTTCAGCAAAATATTCAGCTTCTTCTCTCCCTTAGCTTTTACTCCCACACACTCCCATTTGCTCCTTTCCCTCCACCCAATTTACCACGTTCCCAAAAAACCAACTGCCCGATGCCCACCTGATGCGCGGAACATCTGGCTGGGTTTGAGGGTGAAAATCAGAGACTCATAGAATCATAGAATCATAGAATGGTTTGGGTTGGAAGGGACCTCAAAGATCATCCAGTTCCAACCCCCCTGCCCTGGGCAGGGACACCTCCCACCAGAGCAGGTTGCTCAAGGCCACATCCAGCCTGGCCTTGAACACTTCCAGGGATGGGGCAGCCACAACTTCCCTGGGCAACCTGTTCCAGTGTCTCACCACCCTCAGAGTAAAAAATTTCTTCCTGAGATCTAATCTCAATCTTTTTTCTTCCAATTTAAAACCGTTTCCCCTTGTCCTATCATTACCCCTCCTGGCAGAGAGTCCTTCTCCAGCTCTGGGCATGTTTAGTTTGGAGAAGAGGAGGCTGCCTTCTACAACTACCTGAAAGGAGACTCTAGAGAGGTGGGGGTTGGCCTCTTCTCCCAAAGGAATAATGACAGGACCAGAGGAAATGGTCTGAAGTTGGGGCAGGGGAGGTTTAGATTAGATATTAGGAAGAATGACTTTCCTGAGAGGGTGGTCAGGCCCTGGAACAGCCTGTCCAGGGAGGTGGTGGAGTCTCCATCCCTGGAGGTATTTAAGAAACGTGTAGACATGGCTCTTCAGGGCATGCTCTAGTGCCCAAGGTTATTGGTTTGTGGTGGGGTGTAGTGTGTGGGGTTGTGGGTGTGGGGTTTAGTTGGTGAGTAGTGTTTTGGGGTTTGTTGTTTGTGGTTTTGGTTTTTTGGTGGGTTTTTTTGGTTTTTTTTATGTGGTTGGACTCTATGATCTCGGAGGTCCCTTCCAACCACTAAGATTCTGTGATTCTGTGATTCTATAGGCCCCCTTCAGGTATTGAAAGGCCGCTATAAGATCTCCCCGGAGCCTTCTCTTCTCCAGGCTGAACAATCCCAACTCCCTCAGCCTGTCTTCATAGGAGAGGTGCTCCATCCCTCTGATCATCTCCGTGGCCCTCCAGCCGTTCATAGAAGGGTTGGGGTCGGAAGGGACCTTGGAGATCATAGAATCATAGAATCCCTTGGGGGGAAAAAGGGAAATTTGTGCTGGGTATGAATGGAAAAGTCTGGGTTTATAGAATCATAGAATCATAGAATTGCCCAGGCTGGAAGGGACCTCCAAAGGTCATCTAGTCCGACCTCCCCGCAGTCAGCAGGGACACCCCCAACTAGACCAGGTTGCCCAGGGCCTCGTCGAGCCTCTCCTTGAATATCTCCAGGGAAGGGGCCTCAACCACCTCCCTGGGCAACCTGTTCCAGTGCTCCACCACCCTCACAGTGAAGAACCCTCTCCTCATCTCCAGTCTAAATCTGTTCCCCTCCAGCTTGAAGCCATTGCCCCTCGTCCTGTCACTGCAGGCCTTTCTAAACAGGTTCTCCCCAGCCTTCCTGTAGGCTCCCTTCAGGTACTGGAAGGCTGCTATTAGGTCTCCCCGGAGCCTCCTCTTCTCCAGGCTGAACAACCCCAGCTCCCTCAGCCTGTCCTCGGAGCAGAGGTGCTCCATCCCCCTGATCATGCTTGTGGCCCTCCTCTGGACCCTCATCAAGTTCCATCAGGAAGTGCCGTGGTGGTGCCGACGTGGAATATTTACACGTCGTTCAGCAGCTCGTGAAGCTTCGCCGTTCGTCACTTTGGGTTTGGAGCGTTTTATTTTTAGCTGAGAGCCCAGAACTCGTCGCTGGGTGCCCGGGTATTTATAGCCCTGGCAGATAAAAGCGGGGCCGTTTCGGGGAACTCTGTTTTTATTGGCAGGAAGCGTGTTTGGATGACAGCAGAGTAACACCTTAAGTTACTCACAGTCAAACAAATCGCTCAGAGTCTTGAGTTTTACGGAGGGGAAGTATAACAAGCTGTTTTAATTCCCCCTTTTTTTTTTTTTTTTTTAATTTTAATTAAATATTCGGCGTTCATTAAAACTGGTAGCTGTGGCTGCTGCCTCGTGAAGGCCAACAGCTTTCCCAGCTGGAGGATGTGGTTGGCCCTCATCACACGTCCCGTGTCACACGTTGGGACATCAAGGCAGAGAAAATTCCACTGATTTGTGTTATCTTGTGAGTGGTTTTTTTCCAGGAAGTGAGTCACACCCCAGGAGTCCTGTGTCTCCGCTCGAATGCTGGGTCTTTGAGGTGAAGCAAAGATCACACCTTCTCTGGAGACATTCAAACCCCACCTGGACATGTTCCTGTGCAACCTGCTCTAGGTGGACCTGCTCTGGCAGAGGGTTGGACTAGATGATCTCCAGAGGTCCCTGCCAACTCCATATCATTCTGGGATTCTGTGCACAAGTGTTTTGGGAAGTCAAGGTCAGCTCTTTTATATCAATTCCTCCCCCAGGCCAGCAGCAAGGTGGTGGGAGCTCAAACACAGAGGAGGACCAGGAGCTGCTGAGTTAAGAAATTATGGGTTTGTGAGACATTAGGGGACAGTGTTTTAATACAGATCTGGGCCTGAAGGAGAGGAGATCCCTAGGTTTTAATACAGATCTGGGCCTGAAGGAGATGAGATCCCTAGACCAGGAAGAGGAGCTATGGGATGAGGGGAAACAGTTTTAAACTGAAAAAGGGGAGATTGAGATGAGATCTCAGGAAGAACTTCTTTGCTGTGAGGGTGGTGAGAGCCTGGCCCAGGTTGCCCAGAGCAGCTGTGGCTTCCCCATCCCTGGAGGGGTTCAAGGCCAGGTTGGATGGGGCTTGGAGCAACCTGGTCTGGTGGGAGGTGTCCCTGCCCAGGGGAGGGGGTTGGAACAAGAAGATCTTTAAGGTCCCTTCCAACCCAAACCATTCTGTGATATGAAGCTTTCTAGCTAAAAGTGTGATGACATCTCAGTGAGGACTTCCAGGGGCTGCAGAATACATCCATAAAGAGCTGCTCCTGGAAATCTACTGAGCTTTTGGAGTTCTGGAGGCCAAGATGCTCCACAGACCATCCCAGAGCGTGTGGGCAGTTGGGGCAACCTGCTGCAGGCTTAGTTGAAGATGAGAGCAGGATATAACTCAGTTTGGATTCTCCAGCACTTGCTCCCCAAATTAGGAGCTGTATCTGTGAAAAAAATGGGTGCAAAATGGTTTGGTTTGGTACTCTGAGCTTGTGATGACATCTCAGTGAGGACTTCCAGGGGCTGCAGAATACATCCATAAAGAGCTGCTCCTGGAAATCTACTGAGCTTTTGGAGTTCTGGAGGCCAAGATGCTCCACAGACCATCCCAGAGCGTGTGGGCAGTTGGGGCAACCTGCTGCAGGCTTAGTTGAAGATGAGAGCAGGATATAACTCAGTTTGGATTCTCCAGCACTCGCTCCCCAAATTAGGAGCTGTATCTGTGAAAAAAATGGGTGCAAAATGGTTTGGTTTGGTACTCTGAGCTTCATCTCCCTGCCTCCCTCCTCCATTAAACCCATTCCTATGGGCCCTAGAAACCCTTGGAGATGGAAACCACTGGTGGAGGCTTGACTTGTGGGTCAAATCCAGCAGCAACACCTTTTTATTTGATTATTACTTTTTTTTTTAAGTGTGTTCTGGAAACAGATGGGACAGAAGTGCCAGTATTGACCAAAGGGCTCTTCATTTCCCTGCAGAACATGCACATCCATCTCTAAAAATACCTTCCTGAAGCAACGTGTCATGTCCCACCAGCGGCTGCCCCTCTACCTCCCCCTGCTCCCTCGGGAGCTTGTCTAATTGAATATGCTGCATAATATGCTGCTAATTTGGCAGCTGTCAAAATGAATTATAGTGTGGTTTTTGGTTTTTTTTTAACAGTAGCGCGGCGGAGGCGAGGAGAGCTGGTGTGATGACACCAACTGCCCCCGCTTCTCTTCACATCCCCGACTCGAGAGGGCTTGAAGGAGACCCATGAGGTGTCTCCCAGCACTTCCATGGTGTTGCTTCAACAACTCCAGCCCCTCAAACCTCTTTGGGTCCCCCCAAAGCGTTGAGGGTGCTTGGTACCACAGACCCCGCGTAGGCTTCTGCACTACGTCTTGCTCCTCAGACATACCCTTTCTGTAACCCTCCTGAAATATTTCAAGCTTCTGAGATATTTATTTCTGCCTCCTGGAAAGCAGAGGGAGAGGAACCCTCATAGCTGAGGCTGAATTTCATTTTCCTGCAGGGAGGAGGAGGAGGAGGAGGCAGCTCCTACATTTTTATCATTCATGCTTTTCCCTGCTCATACCTCAGAGCAAGTAGAAGCATGAAGGTGTAAATCAATGTCCATCACGGAGGCATGAAGGATGCACAGTGAGAAATCCTCCACGCTGAGGGTCCTTCCAGAGAAAAGATCTTCTCTGAAGACCCACATCTCCATTCCCCAGTGCTCTCCTGGGTGGTACCAGCACAGAGGCTCAGAGCAGGAAGCCCCTGTCTGGTACGGAGATGGGGTGGCATCATAAATCCTCCGATGGAAAAAGGATGGTTTCTACCCCTCTACTTTGCTCTGGGGAGACCCCACCTGGAGTACTTCGTCCAGCTTTGGAGTCCTCAGCACAGGAAGGACATGGAGCTGTTGGAGTGGGGCCAGAGGAGGCCACGGAGATGCTGGGAGGGCTGGAGCCCCTCTGCTGGGAGGGAGGGCTGAGAGAGTTGGGGGGGTTCAGCCTGGAGAAGAGAAGGCTCCAGGGAGACCTTGGAGCCCCTTCCAGTCCCTCAAGGGGCTCCAGGAGAGATGGGGAGGGACTCTGGATCAGGGAGGGGAGCCATAGGAGGAGGGGAAAGGGTTTGACCCTGAAAGAGGAGAGATTTAGATGAGATCTGGGGAAGAACTTATTTGCTGTGAAGGTGGTGAGAGCCTGGCCCAGGTTGCCCAGAGAAGCTGTGGCTGCCCCATCCCTGGAGGGGTTCAAGGCCAGGTTGGAGGGGGCTTGGAGCAACCTGGTCTGGTGGGAGGTGTCCCTGCCCAGGGCAGGGGGGTTGGAACTGGATGATCTTTAAGGTCCCTTCCCACCCAAACCAGTCTAGGATTCTATGATTTAGGTCCTTTTGCCTTGTCCACCTTCTCAGCAGCAGTTCAAGTGTCACCAGGTGCCACCACCGTCTTCTAACCCAAACCATTCTATGATTCTATGATTTAGGTCCTTTTGCCTTGCCCACCTTCTCAGCAGCAGTTCAAGCATCACCAGGTGCCACCACCATGTCATGCTTTGTGCATCATCAGCTTTTTTGCCTTCTATAGGAGACTGGGGGTTATTTCCACCCAAGGGATTTTTACCACCCAGGGTCTTTCTCATGGGCCAAAGCATGGTCTTGGCATGGAGAACCACAGGCATCTTTGCACCAGAGATGTCTCCTGCCTCTTCCTAGTGGTCCCCACCCCCTCCTACCTGGAAAAGGAAGGATGTTCCTGCTTTGCCTTCTCCCTCTCAGGCTGGAAAGGGGTAAATTAACCCTTCCCCTCCCCTGTGCCAAGGTCCTTTGGTCGATGCAGGGTGGGAGCTCCTCAGGGAGAGAACGGGAAGCGAAGGGTGAAAACCAGCTGGTTCTAACTGTGTGGAAGTGCAAGAAAAAATAAGAAATACTAAAAATTTCCAGCAAATTTGGAGAGCTTTCGAAGGAGGAAGAAAAAAAATAAGAAATACTAAAAATTTCCAGCAAACCTTAGAGAGCTTTCGCAGGAAGAAGGGTCTGGCAGACCCCCCTGAGCCTGGGCTGTGCTGGAGGCTGAAAAAAAAAGGTTCTGTGTCCTCTGAGCTCTTCCCCTCCCAAATTTCCCCCCTCAATAAATCTCCTCCTCTTGCCCTCCTGGGCTCCCAGCGCTGATTTATGAGGACTTTAATGAAAGATGCCCAAACAGAAACGAATTGTGTGGCTCCAGGTGATTCACAGAGACATCTTCATCCCTCTCCTGCCCCTCTCGTTTAATTTAGTGGCAGGAAACAAGGGTTGGGTGTTTGGTTTTTTTTTTAAAATACCTTGGAAGCGACGAGGATTTCAGCGCCTTTCCCAAAAGGAGTTCAAGGCTTTTCCTCTCGCTTTAATTAAAAAAAAAATAAAATAAAATAGCCCTTATTTCTCTCGGAGCCACCGTGGCTGCGACCTGCCGAGGGAAGATTGCAAGTCTTAATAAATATCAGCCCGGATTTAATGAAAGGCAAAAGATTTTTGAACAGAAATGTCTGATTTATTAAACCAACAGCTGCCGGGATGTAGGGAAAAATGTCTTTTTTTTTTAAAATCAGAAATATAGATGCTTGCTGGAGAATGCAGGGTGCCTGGTATGGCTCTGAGGTGGGGAAGGTTTAAAGGGGTGTGAAAGGGGAAGCCACGGGCAGGATTTTACAGTCACGTCACCGGTTTTGTGGTGACGAAGACGTCACCGGGGTCTGGAAAGCCCCCAGTAAATTTATAACAACTTCATTTCTTGCTGTTTATCTTTTTAAACCGAGTCCTGGGTGGGATGCTGAGTTAATGGTTGAGGGCCACGGAGATGATCAGAGGGATGGAGCACCTCTCCTATGAAGACAGGCTGAGGGAGCTGGGATTGTTCAGCCTGGAGAAGAGAAGGCTCCGGGGAGACCTTAGAGCGGCCTTTCAGTACCTGAAGGGTGCCTATAGAAGAGCTGGGGAGGGACTCTTTGCCAGGAAGGGTGATGATAGGACAAGGGGAAATGGTTTTAAATTGGAAGAAAAAAGATTCAGATTAGATCTCAGGAAGAAATTTTTTACTCTGAGGGTGGTGAGACACTGGAACAGGTTGCCCAGGGAAGTTGAGGATGCCCCATCCCTGGAGGGGTTCAAGGCCAGGCTGGATGGGGCCTTGAGCAACCTGCTCTAGTGGGAGGTGTCCCTGCCCATGGCAGGGGGGTTGGAACTCGATGATCTTTGAGGTCCCTTCCAACCCAAACCATTCTATGATTCTGTGATTCTAAGAAGCACTCAGGGCCAGGCAGGATTCCTGGAAACTGGGAGCCTAAAACATACTCTTGGGTATTGTTTGGGGACCTCAAATCCTGAGGCTTCAGACTCAAAATGCTGCCCCAAGCTGGGTCCTCCAACCCCTGTGGGTGCTTGGGGACTTTGGCTGCCCCACTTTACCCACCTGGGTTGGATGAGTTGGGTGGTCAGCACTCAGGGCCAGGCAGGATTCCTGGAAATTGGGAGCCTAGAATAACTCTTGGGTATTGTTTGGGGACCTCAAATCCTGAGGCTTCAGACTCAAAATGCTGCCCCAAGCTGGGTCCTCCAACCCCTGTGGGTGCTTGGGGACTTTGGCTGCCCCACTTTACCCACCTGGGTTGGATGAGTTGGGTGGTCCTGGCTTGGGGCTGAAGGGAGGGATGGAACCACCACCCCCAGGAGGCACCTTGGGTTGCATTCAGCATCAGGGCTACGGGCCACAAGGAGGAAGAGGAGGAAGAGATGGGGATGAGGGATTTGGGGAAAGCAGCTTCTCACCTCATGGCAGCAGCTTGAGGATAAGGTTGGGCTGGAGCACACGTGCTTTCTGGGTAGAATCATAGAAGCATTTTGGTTGGAAAAGACCTTTAAGATCATTGAGTCCAACCGTTAACCCAACACTGCCAAGGCCACCACTAACCCATGTCCCTCAGGACCACGTCTGCCTGGCTTTTAAATCCCTCCAGGGATGGGGACTCCACCACTGCCCTGGGCAGCCTCTTCCAAGGCTTGATAACCCTTTTGGTGAAAAAATGTTTCCTAATATCCATCCTAAACCTCCCCTGGTGCAACTTGAGACCATTTCCTCTTGTCCCATCACCTGTTCCTTGGGAGAAGAGACCGAACCCAACTCGCTACACCCCTGTTCCTTGGGAGAAGAGACCAACCCCAACTCGCTACACCTTCCTTTCAGGGAGCAATAAAGACATATCCATAATTAAAGGCAGGAGAAGTTCTGTGTTGATTTCAGAGCTTCATTAATTTTCCAGTCACCAGCAGCCGCTCACCAGTAGCAAAGCGTGAAAGGAGAAACCAAACCAACATAGGTTGAAGAGGATACATATTTATTTTGTTGGTTGTTTTTTTGTTTGTTTTTTTTTTAAAATAACAACAAAAAATACCACCCTAAGCCTAACCAGCCAACCCAAAAGCTCAGCAAATCGAGAACACTGATCAAAAAGAGTTTTGGCTCCCCCACTTTTCCAGCCTCTGCTAAAAAATAGGTGCTATAATCGCTACGGCAAATGTTAAAACCCAAACAAACCGGTAGCCCCTTTTTGGGAAGCCCTGGCCTCAAAAGACTAATTTTGGCTAATGGGGCCCTTCTGCACGGACCTTTTCCTCCAGCTCCCAAAGGGACAAGCTCAGCTGCTTCTCCTACAGCAGGAAGGGAATGGCTGTGGCTTCAGCCACGCTCCAACCGTTATCAATAGTCACAAAAAACGCACAGATCACGCCGTAAAATTAAAAGGAAAAAGAAATACCCCCGACAACAACAAATAATAACCCATCGTCGTTATGATGAGTGAAGACCCCCCCAAGTACAACACAGGGTTAAAAGAAGAGAACCCCAAACCTCCCCAGACCTCCCGGCATCGCGCAGACACTGGAGACAACACAAGATTTTGGTGCTAGAAAGGCTCTGATGACCCCCCAGCAGTTACTCACTGGCCTTCGTGTTGCCTTCCTCTACCTCGCTCTGGCTCAGCTGAAGCTGATGATGATGAGGGATGAAGGTTGTTGCTTTTCTCTAGGTCCTTCCTGGAGCCTCCACAAAGAGCTGGAAGCAAGAGCTGACCTGTGCTGGGGTAACTAGTGGGGAACTGTATTCCCACCTACAAAATTCTTGGAAACATCCCATGTCTGAAAAAAGAGAGGTTTTTCAGGTTTGGGAGAAATCAAAACCAGAAGGGAAAACCCTCCAGCATCTCAGGAAGGTGGGAGCTGTGAGTCCCATCAGCATCGTGTGGGCTCTGGTTGGGATGGAGTTAATTTTTTTCCAGAGCAGTCCCTACAGTGTGGGTTTTGTGGCTAAATCAGTGCTGACAACACACCAGGTGACAACACACCAGGGTTCCAGCAGAAGGCTTTCCCCTTTTCCCCACTCTGCTCCTCATTGGTGATTGTATCATGGGTAGGCAAGATGCTAGGAAGGGGCAGAGCCAGGACAACCTGGAAGGTGGCCATTGGTCAGAGAGTGGCTGGGAGGTGGTGAGTGGTTGCCTTGGCATCACTTGGGGGTTCCCCACCTCCTTTCCTCTTTCTTTTGCTCATTAAACCATCTTTATCTCCACTCATGAGTTTTCTTGGGTTTGCTCTTCCCGTTCCTCCCCACCTGGTCCCACTGGTGGGGACAGGGAACGAGCAGCCGTGTCCTGCTTAACCCACCACAAGCGCAGGTTGAACATTGGAGGGGTTGTAAACACCAAGGCTGGACACCGTGGGGACGTTGGGTGGAGGTACAACGGAGTATTGTCCTTCCTTGGCCAAGTTTGGTGTGAATCAGGTTGACGTTGCCCTAATTACCACAGCTGAGCAGGGACAGTGTCACACTGATGAGGACAAGGTGCTCCAGGAAAACTGAAGCAGCACAAACCAGCGCTTCCCGTCACTCCAAGACCAAGACAAAGCTGAACCCAACACCCAGCAGCTCCTAGAAGAGCTGTGGCCACTGCTCCTCACCTTGCTGGGACACGGATTGCCTCCATCCATGGGGACACGTGCCTAGAGCTCCTGAAGGCCACTCCTGGCCCAGGTGGGAGGTGACACTAAGGGACACCGGTGGATGCTGCTATGAAGCCCAGAAATGCCACAAGCGAAGCTGATGCCCAAGGGGTGGGAGAAGAGGAGAACTGGGAGAAGGGAGAGCAAAACCAGTCCCCCAAGCAGCAAAATAATCTCAGTTGTACTGGCCCTTCTGGAGTTTCTTGGCATCATTTGAACCCTGAGGTTGGGCTGGATCTGGGGAGGACCACAGGAGGGTCGGGGGCTCAGCACAGCTCGTTGGAACTCGTTACTGCTCATTACCTGCTGGTAACGAAGCCCTAAGAACACGCTCATAATGAGGGAAAAAGTAGGAAGTGACTGAAAAGTGACCTGCACCGAGGACCCAACCAAAGCAGGAGGAACCCATGACACCCTCTGGCTGGTGAACCATCAGGGCAACACCTGAGGATGCAGAGAAGCCTCAACAGCACTTCACCATCTCCCTGAGAAGGCTGTGAAGGTGACACAGTGGCACTTTCTGTCCCCTCAGCATCACCCCTTTGTGGTTTCCTCAGGCTCCCAACTAGGTCCTCCTCCTAGTCATGGGGGGGCTCGGTGGTTGGGGAATCAGCCCTCTGAGCCATTCCCCCAGCGGAGGGTCTACTGGGCAGACTGGAGAGGTGGTGGGCTTACAGGCATGTCCAAGGTCCTTCCAGCATGGGTGGTAGGGTCACACAACAAGGACTCAAGTTTACAGCCAACTAACTGGAGGAGTCAGCCAACTAACTGGAGGAGTCAGCCAACTAACTGGGGGAGTCAGCCAACTAACTGGGGGAGTCAGCCAACTGTGATGGCCACCTGGATATCAAGGGACGGCACCAAAGAGGATCAGGGTCCAGCTCATCAAAGCTGGAAGGAGTGGACAACAGCACCACACCAAGGTTGGGCTCCACACAGAGAACGGGGGCAGCTTTTACATTACTTAAAAAGGGTTATCAAAATAATAATAAAAAAAAAAACACCAAAACCCAAACCCAACCAAAAACCAAGGGGGGAGGTTGGAAGTAAAAGGGGTTGCATCAAAAAAAAATGCAACCTTGCAAAAAAATAACCGTGTCATCTCTCCATAATCCATCTCAGGTAGGTTCCAAGCGGAGGCTCCACGTTTCTCAGGAGCTTGGCACAGCCAACACCTCCCCCGTGTGTTATAAAAACAACCCCCCTCTGGGGGATTCCTTGCTGCTCCGCTCTAAAAAAAACCAATAAAAAGGTCCCTGCAGAGAGTCCCTGGTGGTTTACTCCTCCTTCGGCCTCTTCCTCCAGCGGGCCAGGAAGGGCCCCAGGCTGTTCCACACCTCCGTGTACATGAGAGTCCCCACGAAGACGAAGGTGGTGCCCAACCAGTGCCAGGCCGTGAAGGGGTTGCGGAAGTAGAGGATGGAGAAGATGAGGCTGACGAACTTGCGTAGGGTCACCACCAGCGTGACGGTGAGGGAGGTGCACTCCGTGGTGAGGATGAAGACGCCGCGGATGCAGACGTATCTGGGAGAAGGAAGGAGTTAAGGGGACATCGGGGAAGAGGAAGAGGAAGGACGCCTGGTTGGGACCTTTGGGCAAAAAAAGGACTGGGCAAGGGATGGTCCCGGTCTGGTTAGAGAGGGAATGAAATTCCCTTCTCCTCACATCAACGTTTCTACAGCTCTGAGGAGCTTCACTACAACCCCCAAGGACACCCCAAATCTCTCATCGTCCCCAACTTTGTGTTGGGACACCAAAAATGACGCCGGGGCTGATGTGTTGGCCAAAGATCAATGGCCCCCAGCGTTTACAGGCCCTGCCAGGGAGCCAAGGGAAGCTAAAACCAGATTTTTCCATTTATATCCAGCATGAATTTCCCTTTTTCCCCCCAAGGGGCCACAGGAAGAGCAGGTGGAACACGGGGGTTTCATGTAGAAGCACGAGCAGCAACAGAGCTCAGCACTCTCTCAGCAGTGAGAGGGCCTTGGACCAAAGGGTCCCTTTTTCAAGGCCATCTTGGCTTCATCAGACCTTCAGAGCTGTCCTCGCTGCCTGGAAGACTCCACACACTGATCTGGCACCCAAATGGCTCCCCATCTATCCCTTCTCCCTAGAGCTGTCTAGAAGAACCATCAGGAGTTTATATTCTCTCTGGGGAGGTGGTGGCAAATTTCAGCCACCCTAGAAATAACGTAAGCCCCAGGTTAAATTCCAACCCATATTTTCTGGTTCTTCACTGTGAGGGTGGTGGAGCACTGGAACAGGTTGCCCAGGGAGGTGGTTGAGGCCCCTTCCCTGGAGATATTCAAGGTGAGGCTCGACGAGGCCCTGGGCAACCTGGTCTAGTTGGGGGTGTCCCTGCTGACTGCGGGGGGGTCGGACTAGATGACCTTTGGAGGTCCCTTCCGGCCTGGGCAATTCTATGATTCTATGATTCTATAAACCCAGACTTTTCCATTTATACCCAGCACGAATTTCCCTTTTTCCCCCCAAGGGGCCACAGGAAGAGCAGGTGGAACACGGGGGTTTCATGTAGAAGCACGAGCAGCAACAGAGCTCAGCACTCTCTCAGCAGTGAGAGGGCCTTGGACCAAAGGGTCCCTTTTTCAAGGCCATCTTGGCTTCATCAGACCTTCAGAGCTGTCCTCGCTGCCTGGAAGACTCCACACACTGATCTGGCACCCAAATGGCTCCCCATCTATCCCTTCTCCCTAGAGCTGTCTAGAAGAACCATCAGGAGTTTATATTCTCTTTGGGGAGGTGGTGGCAAATTTCAGCCACCCTGGAAATAACGTAAGCTCCAGGTTAAATTCCACTCTATATTTTCCAAGTTTTGCTGGCCAGGAGGTTCAACCACCCTGGAAAAAAAACATCTTAAGTCCCAGGTTAAATCTCACTCTATAGTTTCCAAGAATTACAGGAAAATCAGCTCCCAAATGCAGGGGAGACACCAAGGACTCGTCACCCCCACCCAGTTCCTCCTCTCCCACCCCACTGCCATCTCCGTGGTGTGTCTGAAGCCGAGCTCCAAAAGGATACTGAGTGACGACGTTCATGAGGAGGTAGAACCACATGATTGGCAGGGTCAGCCCGATCACTGGGACCTGGAAGGGCTCTGTGGGGAGAAAGGATGGAGCAAGGTCACTGTCCTGCCACTGCTTAAAGACAACAGAAGGAGAGGTGTGTCTCTCCTGTCCTGAACTGACCATGATCTGGACATGCTGCAGCTTCTGGAGAAGAGAAGGCTCCAGGGAGAACTTATAGTGGCCTTCTAATACCTGAAGGGGCTCCAGGAAAGCTGGGGGGGGACTTTTGATGAGGGAAGGAGCCATGGGACAAGGGGGAACAATTTTAAACTGAAAGAGGGGAGATTTAGATGACATCTGAGGAAGAACTTTGCTGTGAGGGTGGTGAGAGCCTGGTCCAGGTTGCCCAGAGAAGCTGTGGCTGCCCCATCCCTGGAGGGGTTCAAGGCCAGGTTGGAGGGGGCTTTGAGCAACCTGGTCTGGTGGGAGGTGTCCCTGCCCAGGGCAAGGGTTTGGAACTGGATGATCCTTAAGGTCCCTTCCAACCCAACCCATTCTATGATGATTGAAGAGGCCGTTGCTGCATCAGACAGGCTGAGGCGTGGGCACGTTTTGATTTTGCTCCAAATGGAGAGTTATCTGGCTCTTACTGTGATAAATGACAAATACAAGGGAGTTGGCAGATGTTTCTGCTTGGACTTCTGTAGGGAAGAAAGGAAGATGGAGGAAGAAGTAGGCTAGAGGGAAAAAAAAAAGACATTAAAAGAAAAACTCTGTCTTGCTTTCTTGTGTCAGGGCTGTCCTGCTGTTAAAATTGGATGAATCAACTGTGTCTCTGAAAGGCCGAGAGCCTCTGGGAAAAGTTTGTGTAGCACCAGCAAAACAAAAGCCAATGGGTCCATGTTTCCACCCATGGTTGAGGATCTGCTCCCATTCCTCCTATTTTTGAACTACCACGTTGCTTTCCCCAGGGGCCCATGGTTGAGGATCTGCTCCCATTCCTCCCATTTTTGAACTACCACATTGCCTTCCCCAGGGGTCACCTCATGCTTTCCTCTTCCTCCAGCGGGCCAGGAAGGGCCCCAGGCTGTTCCACACCTCCGTGTACATGAGAGTCCCCACGAAGACGAAGGTGGTGCCCAACCAGTGCCAGGCCGTGAAGGGGTTGCGGAAGTAGAGGATGGAGAAGATGAGGCTGACGAACTTGCGTAGGGTCACCACCAGCGTGACGGTGAGGGAGGTGCACTCCGTGGTGAGGATGAAGACCCCGCGGATGCAGACGTATCTGGGGGGGAGGAGGGGAGTTAAGGGGACATCGGGGCTGAAGAGGAAGGACGCCTGGTTGGGACCTTTGGGCAAAAAAAGGACTGGGCAAGGGATGGTCCCGGTCTGGTTAGAGAGGGAATGAAATTCCCTTCTCCTCACATCAACGTTTCTACAGCTCTGAGGAGCTTCACTACAACCCCCAAGGACACCCCAAATCTCTCATTGTCCCCAACCTTGTGCTGGAACACCAAAAATGACGCCGGGGCTGATGTGTTGGCCAAAGATCAATGGCCCCCAGCGTTTACAGGCCCTGCCAGGGAGCCAAGGGAAGCTAAAACCAGATTTTTCCATTTATATCCAGCATGAATTTCCCTTTTTCCCCCCAAGGGGCCACAGGAAGAGCAGGTGGAACACGGGGGTTTCATGTAGAAGCACGAGCAGCAACAGAGCTCAGCACTCTCTCAGCAGTGAGAGGGCCTTGGACCAAAGGGTCCCTTTTTCAAGGCCATCTTGGCTTCATCAGACCTTCAGAGCTGTCCTCGCTGCCTGGAAGACTCCACACACTGATCTGGCACCCAAATGGCTCCCCATCTATCCCTTCTCCCTAGAGCTGTCTAGAAGAACCATCAGGAGTTTATATTCTCTCTGGGGAGGTGGTGGCAAATTTCAGCCACCCTGGAAATAACGTAAGCTCCAGGTTAAATTCCACTCTATATTTTCCAAGTTTTGCTGGCCAGGAGGTTCAACCACCCTGGAAAAAAAACATCTTAAGTCCCAGGTTAAATCTCACTCTATAGTTTCCAAGAATTACAGGAAAATCAGCTCCCAAATGCAGGGGAGACACCAAGGACTCGTCACCCCCACCCAGTTCCTCCTCTCCCACCCCACTGCCATCTCCGTGGTGTGTCTGAAGCCGAGCTCCAAAAGGATACTGAGTGACGACGTTCATGAGGAGGTAGAACCACATGATTGGCAGGGTCAGCCCGATCACTGGGACCTGGAAGGGCTCTGTGGGGAGAAAGGATGGAGCAAGGTCACTGTCCTGCCACTGCTTAAAGACAACAGAAGGAGAGGTGTGTCTCTCCTGTCCTGAACTGACCATGATCTGGACATGCTGCAGCTTCTGGAGAAGAGAAGGCTCCAGGGAGAACTTATAGTGGCCTTCTAATACCTGAAGGGGCTCCAGGAAAGCTGGGGGGGGACTTTTGATGAGGGAAGGAGCCATGGGACAAGGGGGAACAATTTTAAACTGAAAGAGGGGAGATTTAGATGACATCTGAGGAAGAACTTTGCTGTGAGGGTGGTGAGAGCCTGGTCCAGGTTGCCCAGAGAAGCTGTGGCTGCCCCATCCCTGGAGGGGTTCAAGGCCAGGTTGGAGGGGGCTTTGAGCAACCTGGTCTGGTGGGAGGTGTCCCTGCCCAGGGCAAGGGTTTGGAACTGGATGATCCTTAAGGTCCCTTCCAACCCAAACCATTCTATGATGATTGAAGAGGCCGTTGCTGCATCAGACAGGCTGAGGCGTGGGCACGTTTTGATTTTGCTCCAAATGGAGAGTTATCTGGCTCTTACTGTGATAAATGACAAATACAAGGGAGTTGGCAGATGTTTCTGCTTGGACTTCTGTAGGGAAGAAAGGAAGATGGAGGAAGAAGTAGGCTAGAGGGAAAAAAAAAAGACATTAAAAGAAAAACTCTGTCTTGCTTTCTTGTGTCAGGGCTGTCCTGCTGTTAAAATTGGATGAATCAACTGTGTCTCTGAAAGGCCGAGAGCCTCTGGGAAAAGTTTGTGTAGCACCAGCAAAACAAAAGCCAATGGGTCCATGTTTCCACCCATGGTTGAGGATCTGCTCCCATTCCTCCCATTTTTGAACTACCACATTGCCTTCCCCAGGGGTCACCTCATGCTTTCCTTGAGACAGGCGTAGCAGGCTAGAAATGTTTCTCAATTATATTAATTATTATTATTAATTAAAGTGATCTACGCATGGAAATAATCCCCCTGCCCGGAGGAACTATTATTATTAATTAAAGTGATCTACGCATGCAAATAATCCCCCTGAGGAAATTCAGGAGCATCCAGGCGGGTCTTGAAAATCTCCAAAGAAGGGGACTCCACAACCTCCCTGGGTCACCTCATGCTTTTCTTGAGACAGGCGTAGCAGGCTAGAAATGTTTCTCAATTATATTAATTATTATTATTAATTAAAGTGATCTACGCATGCAAATAATCCCCCTGAGGAACCAAGAAACCCATCAGCAAAGATCCCTGAGTTTCACAAAATCAGGGATTTAGGAAACTTGCTGGCACTGAAAAAGCTGGTGAATTTTACACCACTGTTGGACAAAGCTTCCTACAGCGTTTTCCAGAAAGGCACAAGAGCAAGGATCCATGTGTGGACACTTACCAGACTGGTTGAAGAGGACTGCATGGTGGTAGATGTTTGGGGCCAGGAGGAGAAAGCCAGGGAGTGGTAACGCGTGCTGGAGGGGAAAGGAAAGACATGACGTTAACAGCCTTAACAGACTGCTTGAAAATAAGAAGTTCCACCTAAACATGAGGAGGAACTTCTTTCCTTTGAGGGTGGCAGAGCCCTGGAAGAGGCTGCCCAGGGAGGTGGTGGAGTCTCCTTCTCTGGAGACATTCAAAACCTGTCTGGATGTGTTCCTGTGGGACCTGCTGTAGGTGGACCTGCTTTGGAAGGGGGCTGGACTAGATGATCTCCAGAGGTCCCTTCCAACCCCATATCTTTCTGTGATTACATGAACCTATCCCACTTCTCATCCTGGGCCTCACACACCTGGATGAGGGCACTGCTTCAGCCTCACAGCGTGTGATCCTTGGGATTTGTGCCGGGGTGGGAGGGGAAGGGACTCTCTGAGGAGCTCTACCCACCCAGGAAAAACAACAGAAAAGACTTACATTGTAAAAAAGGGCCTCTTTGGAGTGCTTCCCAAACTGCTTGTACAGTGTCTCCTGGAAGATCCCCATCCTGGCAGACATGAGGAGGGCGAAGGTGAGGGCAGCAATACCTGGAAGAGAAGCACAGCTTCAGCGTAGCTCAAGTCAACCAGCTTGAAGACTCCTTCAATTTAGCATTCGGTGAAAAAAAGCCAAAGCTGCCAGATTTGATAAAACGGGCAAAAAATTGATTTTTTGGGGACACGGGTATCTCATTACAAAGTCTGAGATGTCAAGAGACTTCTGAAAAGATCATCTCTTTTAAAAAGAGACTCGGCCCTGGCAAGCGGAGCTGGTGGGATACCAGGGACACAGTCACGTGCCACTATGGACAATTCATCAACCCAGTGACCCTGAAAAGCCACCAATAAATCTATGTTGGAGGTATAAAAATAGACTTCAAGTGCCAGACCGTAGAGACTCCTCCATGAAACACTGTGCTGAAGGAGCACTTCAACCAGCTACAGCCCCTCTCCCTCCCTGCAGCAGAGCTCAGGGCTGCAATTTAATCAGGCTTTTGCAGAGAGAAATCAAGAAGGTGTCTGCAAACATGCATGACTTGTTGAACTGGGGAGTCCAGTTCTGGGCTCCCCAGTTCCAGAAGGACAGGGAACTGTTGGACAGGGCACAGCAAAGGGCTACGAAGCTGATGAAGGGACTATAACATCTCTCTGCTGAGGAAAGGCTGAGGGACTTGGGTCTGTTTAGTCTGGAGAAGAGAAGACTGAGGGGGGATCTCATCAATGCTTATAAATACTTAAAGGGTGGGTGTCAGGAGGATGGGGTCAGTCTTTTTTCAGTGGTGCCCAGTGACAGGACAAGAGGAAATGGGCACAAACTTGAATATAAGAAGTTCCACCTAAACATGAGGAGGAACGTCTTTCCTTTGAGGGTGGCAGAGCCCTGGAAGAGGCTGCCCAGAGAGGTGGTGGAGTCTCCTTCTCTGGAGACATTCAAAACCCACCTGGACACGTTCCTGTGGGACCTGCTATGGGTGACCCTGCTCTGGCAGGGGGTTGGACTAGATGATCTCCAGAGGTCCCTTCCAACCCCACATCATTCTATGATTCTGTGACTATAGTGTCATTATGTCACCAAACCACTACCCTGTAGACACCCTTCAGGTCCCATATTTCACTTGTTGGCCAAATCTCCTTGTGCAAAGCTGCTAACGAGGGAGACAAAACCTCTTTCTTTGCACATCAACACCCACCAGGTGCTCAGCACAACCTCAGTGCGGGGACTTCCACCACAGTCTGCACTGCACAACCCACGTGGCCACGGACACCAGAGAGACAGTCTCACCAGCATCCCAGTAAGGTCAGCTGGAGATGTGGAATCACATACCTAGCAGCCACCACAAGAAAACCTGGAGTCCGTCCTCTTCATTTAAGCTGGGGTCAGATGCCTGGTGGAAGGAGACATGACACAGTCACTGTGAGCCACCATGTCCCTGCAAGCTCATTCAGATCAGATTGGAAAGGCTGAGGGACTTGGGTTGTTTTAGTCTGGAGAAGACTGAAGGGAATCTCATCAAGGCCTATAAATCCTTCAAGGGCGGGTGTCAGGAGGATGGGGCCAGTCTTTTTTCAGTGGTGCCCAGTGACAGGACAAGAGGGAACGGGCACAAACTTGAGCATAGGAAGTTCCATCTCAACATGACGATGAACTGCTTTCCTTTGAGGATGGCAGAGCCCTGGAAGAGGCTGCACAGAGAGGTGGTGGAGTCTCTGTCTCTGGAGACATTCAAAACACTCCTGGACACGGTCCTGTGGGACCTGCTCTGGGTGGACCTGCTTTGGCAGGGGGTTGGTCTAGATGATCTCCAGAGGTCCCTTCTGTGTTCTGCCTGCCCCTCACTCTTGGTTTGTGTGGTGTTCTCCATGCAATTCCATAAAGCAAACTCTGCCCAAGGTGTCTCATTATCCAGAGTTGCCACCCTGGCTGAACAAAGGTGGTAGCAACTAGAGCACCCTTTGCTCTCCACTCTGCTTCAGGGAATGCACCAGATTCCAGAAAAAAAATTAAAAAAGTGTAAACATCTGATCAAAAGAGTCACTTTTCTGAAAGAAAGGCCTTGACTTGGCCAAAGATGGAATTCCTCAACCACAAAAATAATCAGCGTGGCTTAGAAAGCTCCCCCAGACAGGTCCTCTGTCCCCATCTCAGAGGTGAGAGTGCAGGAAAGAACAAAGGCTCTGGCCAAGGCCCAGTCAGGTGCTAAAACCATGGCTCTGGCTTGTGGTTGAGGAAACCAGGGCCTGGAGATGCTGAGGTTGAAACTCTAGGTAAAACTCAGCTCAACTCTCCTACGCCGTGGTTTAGGACAAATTAAATTATTCACCTTTGCCACAACTGTCTGTTCTACACCCAAAACCCCCCTGCTGAGAGTTTATCGGGATGAACACAGAGCACAGAGCTTCCTCAGACATTCTGGGACTATAAAAAGCTGTTTGATGATGGGGGACTTCAGAGGTTTGACAGCCCTGTTTCATCTCCAGTCTCTCAGAGCTGGATTAAGTGCAACCAATTTTCACTTTGCCACCACTTTATGGCATTTTTTTGTCTCTTCAGTTGACAAGATCAGGCCGCGGGTGCTGACCCAGAAAAAGCCCAAAGTGGTGTCACACGTGGATTTTCTTAAGTCCCTCCTGTTCTCCAAACACACACACTTTATTTTCAAGGGTCACTGGAAGTCACATTGGATGACAACAGGGCTAGAAAAAATCTAGCCTTAAAGCTGACAATCTGGGCTAAAATGAGCGAAAATGGTTGAGTTTTGTTTAAGAGTCACCTGTCCCTAACATTGCAGGAAGGGCAAGAGAAAACAGCTTCTAGCTGTTAAAATAATAGTATATTTTCAGCAAAAATCAACCTGAACAACACAGGATAAAAGGAATCTGTAATTTAGTTAAATCACATGCCTACGTGTGCATCCCCTCCCTCCAAACCATGAGAAACCATGGTTTGGTTTCAAACAACCATGAGGTTGTGGAGTCCCTTTCCTTGGATATTTTCAAGACCTGCCTGGATGCCATCCTGAGTAACATGCTCTAGCTCTAGGCAATCCTGCTTCAGCAGGGGAGTTGGACTAGATGATCTCTATGGTCCCTTCCAACTCTAAAATTCAGTGAAATTCAGTGAAGATAGGACCAGGATCAAGAGCTTTTTGGGGAGCAGATCTAGAGCTCCCCATTAATTGTTAGGCAAAGGGAAGGATGACGAAGGTGCTGACAACAGCTCCTCCTGTCAATAAGGTCCACAGCTGGTGACCTCAGGCCCTTTCCAAACCTTACCACTTGCTTTGCAGACATGAAGGTGCAGGTGAAGATCCCCAGCGACACCAGGGCTATGGATGTGTATTTAGATACGCTGTACCTGCATGGGGGAGAAGAAAGATGTCAGTGATCCAGCTCAGCCTCGCGTCGTTCATCTACTGCTCCCCTGCATTGCATTTTGCTCCACTACATTGGTGTGAACTTGGGGTGGTGGGCACATACCCATGAATTAATCCTGGACATTGCTGGGGGGAGGGAAGGTCAAATTACTCCAACTGCAGCAAAAAAAGGAGTATTTAGACCAAGATCTCCTTGCCTGTGGCAAAGGATCCCTCTCAGATCAAAGCCAGAGTGGATCTCTGCATAGTGATGGAGTGCCAAGGGATCATAGAATCATGGAATGGTTTGGGTTGGAAGTGGCCTTGAAGACCATCTAGTTCCAACTCCCTGCCCTGGGCAGGGACACCTCCCACCAGACCAGGTTGCTCAAAGCCCCGCCCAACCTGGTCTTGAAATGGATGTGCCCACATTGGTCCCACAGCCAGAACCCAAGCAGCTGGGAGGACCCTCCTGTCCTTGCCTGCTGTGGTGGGTTGACCCCTTGTGGGATGGGGGAGAGAACTGGAAGAGCAAGAGCAAGAAAAACTTGTGGGTCAAGCTAAAGAGTTTTAATAGGTGAGGGGGTGGGGGGGAAACAACAACAAACCCAACACAAAAGCCATCAGTCACCACCTTCCCATGACAGAACCCTGGAACAGGCTGCCCAGAGAAGGTGTGGAGACTCCTTCACTGGAGAGATTCCAAACCCACCTGGGTGCATCCAACCTGCTCTAGGTGAACCTGCTCTGGTAGGGGTTTGGACTAGATGATCTCCAGAGGTCCTTCCCAACCTCTACAATTCTGTGATTCCCATGGCCATCGAGGAAGCCAAATCCCCCCAACCCCTTTCTTCCTCTACCCTGGTTTCTATCACAGCCCAAGACAGTCTAAGACAACCCTTTGGCCATCTCAGATCAGCTTGTGAACCTGCTCTGGCAGGAGTTTGGACTAGATGATCTCCAGAGGTCCTTTCCAACCTCTACAATTCTGTGATTCCTGTGATTCCCATGGCCACTGAGGAAACCAAATCCCCCCAACCCCCTTCTTCTTCTACCCTGGTTTCTATTGCAGCCCAAGACATTCTAAGACACCCCTGTGGCCACCTCGGATCAGCTGTCCCAGCTGCATCCCCTCCCAGTTTCTTGTCCACCCACGTGCTGGGGAGGCAGAATGGGATAAAGAAAAAACCTTGACACCCTGTAAACATTTTTCAGCGATAGCCAAAACATGGGTGTTCTATCAACACTGTTGGAGCCACAAAATCCAAAACATAACACCATATGGGCTGCTGTGAAGAAAGTTAACTCCATCCCAGCCAGACCCCAGTACACCCAGTCCATCAGGAGCTGTACCAGCCCCACACAGGGAAGAGGAAGGAAAAGAGCTAACACACAGGGCTGCAGCCACGTGTAAAAGCTCTCTCTTCAGTCCACCCTGGCCTTAAATGAAGGAGTGAGAGGTGGTGGAAAGAGGGACCCTATTCCAGCCTATAGTCCAGGAACATCTCTGTGCCCCAGTTTCCCCATCACTAAAACAAGAATGTTTAACTGGAAGGGCACTAAACACCAGGATATGAGAAAAAGGCTTGTGATTTACCTTTTCTTCAAAATTACGACGCCTAGAGCCATGCTTGCTATGAGAGAGCCCTGGGAAAGAAGAGAGAGGAGGAGTAAAACAAAAGAGAAGGTTTTTACAGGTATTTATTTACAAGTTATTTAACAGCATGACAAAATTCCCTGGACTGGGATGCCCGCCCCAGAGAAACATCACAAATTCAACACAACTAATTCCAAAACACCAACAGAAATACCAGAATAGGGTCAGGGAGACTGACGGAGTGAGGAAGGTCTCACTTCAGCGAGGAGGAGGGGAGAAGTTGAGCTGGTGGCTTGGGAACAAGGGTGCTGGGGGAAAGGGGCTGGCTAGGACCTTCTGGCCAGTAGGGTACCCCCTTTTTTGGCTCCCTCGTGGCACTCGGTGTGTGACACAGAGCAGAACGTGACCAAATCACTGTGTTTTTAATTAGGAACAGGAGTATGGCCTCGCAGATTGACTGTGGGGCTGCAATACAATGAACCATCCCTGGCTGTTAATGCAGGACAGGGCTCCAAGAATGTCTGGTTTTCTTCTTTTTAACCTCTCCTGACTTCAGGTACCTCAACCCCATGATGTGTTGGGGGAGAACAGCCCCCGCCCAGCAGATTTTGTTATTCCCAACAGCTGGGGCTCCATTTCCTTTGGTTTTAACAGATTTTTTTTAGCCTCACACTCATCTACACTTAAGAGAAGATGCATTTTAATTGCATTTTCCAAAGCAAAGGCGTATGAAGTAACAGTGCAGGTGGAATCCATGCTTTCTAACCTGGGCTTTTTTAACCAGGACACTTACACTAAGACATGAACCCCTTGGTATGACTGGGTGGTGAAAGGGAAAGTTGGGTCCCTTTGGCCACCAATTCAGAGTCTGGGCTTGGTTTTGTCATCTTTACTTCTCTATCACCCTTGGAAATATGAAGCCTGTTTGAGTCTCACTTTCTTCATCTATTCAGTGACATTAAGCTGATATTTAACGGTCAACACTGTGAATGAGAACTGGAGCTGAGCCTTCAGAGCAAGGTTCCTCTCCTCACAAGTTACCTGGAGTTTAGAATTTGCACAGGGTTTTGTTGCCCTCGGAGAAAGAGAGGGTGACAGAACACATGCAGCAGGGACAGTGCTTACAGAGATGATGGAAAAAGATGTCACATGAGGAGGAGAAGGGTGGTATGATGGTACTCACCGATCTGAAGATCATGTGCAGCGGCATGGCGATATTTAAGTTCAGGGCATAGTTGTTGACCACACTGACAGTGAAGAACATGGCCACCATGATGAAATAGTACCTGAAACACAAAAAACAGCTGATGGCTGTGCATGTACCTCCCCAGGATGCTGAAGCACAGAATCATATGGGGTTGGAAGGGATCTCTGGAGATCATCTAGTCCAACTCTCTGCCAAAGCAGGTCCACCTACAGCAGGACACAGGAACGTGTGCAGGAGGGTTTTGAATGTTTCCAGAGAAGGAGACTCCACCACCTCTCTGGGCCGCCTGTTCCAGGGCTCTGCCACCCTCACAGGAAAGAAGTTCCTCCTCACGTTTAGGTGGAACTTCTTATATTCAATTTTGTGCCCGTGACACACCTTGGGAACAGATTAAGTGGCACAAAGAAAGGTTTGGAGCTGAGCAAGGGCCCAGTTAGCCCTTGAGTCAAAACCTCCTCACTTCAGCCACCGAGTGCCAGGGAGGAGAGCACGAACATGCCAGGACAAGATCAGCATGGACAGAGAAATGCAAAAGTGGATTTTGGCTGGATTTCCAGTAAACCTCTCCCTCCCACACCCATTGTACTGAGCCTCAGAGAGACAGCGAGTTCTTCAAGCACACCAGGCTCTTCACTGTGCAAAATACTGCCCTGTTTCTTGGACAGGAAAGTATCCGACAGCGATTTCCTATTAAGAATTCTCGATAAACGAGGAGTTCTTATTTTATCAGGCTTGACAGGTTCTCAATGAGGCTGAATGCACAGGATTTAGACTGGATCAATGGATAAGCCATTTTATTAAATGCTTCTTGAGATAATAAATAGCCAGTCAATTTGGGCCTAGCAAAAGCGTTCAGATGGACTGTACCTTATTGGTATGGCAGGCTTCTTCCTCCCAAAGTTGGCTTCGAAGATGAAGCCTTCCACCGCGATGAACAGGAACTGGGAGAATGTCACTATGTTCCCACATCCTGGAAACTGCCTGCAGGCAGTGGAGAAGAAAGACAAGCATTAAGAGCAGTGCCACAGAGAACAAACACTGCATTGGGCTCCAACAAAAAGAGGCTAATAGCTCATAATCCCAGAGTGAGCATCAATCCGGAGGGACTTTTACCACTTTATACCTCCAGGTTCTCACATTGCCTTTGTTGAACACTTCCCTGCAGGTATTTACTCATCTGTGCTTGTAGACAGATGAGCAGCAAACCCTTCCTCAACTATTTCCAAAGAGGAGGCGAGCAGCCACCCCTGCCTTGATAGGGATATTGGGTCAGGAAGTGAAAGAGGAAATTGTTCTCATCTCACAGATTTGTGAAACATCCCACCAGGGCACAGAAACTGAATGAGCAACATCAAGTGACCAACAGAACCACACTGAGGCTGGATCTCCCTCCTCCTCACAGGGGAGTGGTTTTGACAGGACTCTCTCCCTACCTACGAGCTGCCGTGTTTGTTGAAGGCCAAGTGAAGGGATGAGTCCACCTGGGAGGAAGGCAGCAGGATTTGTTGAAGGCCAAGTGAAGGGATGAGTCCACCCGGGAGGAAGGCAGTGGGATTTCCTTATAGCGGCCTTTCAATACCTGAAGGGTGCCTATAGAAGAGCTGGAGAAGGACTCTTTGCCAGGAGGTGTAGTGATAGGACAAGGGGAAATGGTTTTAAATTGGAAAAAAAAAGATTCAGATTAGATCTCAGGAAGAAATTTTTTACTCTGAGGGTGGTGAGACACTGGAACAGGTTGCCCAGAGAAGTTGTGGATGCCCCATCCCTGGAGGGGTTCAAGGCCAGGCTGGATGGGGCCTTGAGCAACCTGCTCTAGTAGGAGGTGTCCCTGCCCATGGCAGGGAGGTTGGAACTGGGGGATCTTTGAAGTCCCTTCCAACCCAAACCATTCTATATAATTCTATGATTTCCAACAGCCCTTATTTCCACTGCACAAGAGAAGGGCCAAGGTCAGGTCCACACCTGCAGAGCACAGCGTAGTGTCTGTGGTTCTGCTTGTACCCCCTCCCCAAAACATGTGAACGTGAGCTCAAACCTGCTTTAGAGAGCAGAGCTTTAGCTCTCTGCCCTCCTGCATCTGCTGGATGCCAAGAGGTTGGTTGTAGGTTCAAGAAAGAACCCACAATGGCTCATCATGGGAGCCCCAAAAGGTTGTGACATGAAATGCCACATGACAGTCAGGAAAGCCAGGGAGCTGGCTAATGTGATAAATGCTTTGCAGTGAAGTTTTCAAACTCCACAAGGTACGGAAAGCCACCAAAGAATGTCTGACCTCAAAACAGACCCTCTGAGCTGAGCGTCTTTGTTCTGCCAGAGAGACCCAGGCACTGCAGTTCTCACTACTTCTGCAGCAGAAATGACACCGCCTTAGAGCAAATCAACCCCGTGTGTTTATTCTGAGAGGAGAGGAATTGCACACAAGGGAACCACAGAATCAGAATCACAGAATCTTCTAGGTTGGAAGGGACCTTAAAGATCATCTTGTCCAACCGTCAACCTAACTGACAAAAATAGACACCCCCACAACAAACAAGAAGCATCACCATCACTAAACCATACCTCCCAGCACTACATCAACCCGTCTTTTGAACACCTCCAGGGATGGGGCCTCAACCACCTCCCTGGGCAGCCCATTCCAATGTCTGAAAAGTCACCCCCAAACACCTGGACATTAAATAAACACTCCTCCACATGCTGCTCACCCATTCCTAGCAGACCTGCCTGCTGTAAACCCCCCCTCCTTCCTAAGAAGCTTACGGGGAGCAAGGGAGGATTTCCTGGAAGGCAGAGAGTCAGAGGAGGCGGTGACACGTCAGATAATCAGAAAGCTCACTGTTATTTGCAGAGGGAGGCAGAGGAATTTGAGATAGGGGAACTCCCCTTTCTCAGGTGCAAAATTGGAAGAAAAAAGATTCAGATTAGATCTCAGAAAGAAATTTTTTACTATGAGGGTGGTGAGACACTGGAACAGGTTGCCCAGGGAAGTTGTGGATGCCCCATCCCTGGAGGGGGTCAAGGCCAGGCTGGATGGGGCTTTGAGCAACCTGGTCTAGTGGGAGGTGTCCCTGCCCATGGCAGGGGGGGTGGAACTAGATGATCTTTGAGGTCCCTTCCAACCCAAACCATTCTATGATTCTATGATTGAAACTGAAGCCGATGACTTGACGGAGAAGCTGCACGCCGTTGAGTCCCCACCTTCACACAGCGCGTCCTCACAAGGAGTCAGAGACTGGGTCTAGACACAGTTTTGCAGAACACAAGCTGAAAGACGCACTGGAGAACAGGAATAACCAACCTGTCTCCTGGAGAGCTGAGCTGAAGGTCTGGTCTCCTCCAGAATCTCCTGTGTCACCCCCCCCCAGACTTCTCAGAAGAAGCAGCAGTGCTCTGGTTAATGCAGAGCCACCAAACAGCACCTGGAAGGGCCACCTTCTCCCTGCTCCCACAGGGCAGGCACTAACCTAAGCCCCTGCCCTCTACCCATCTGCCAATTTTCACATTTTTCAGGGATTAACTGTCCATGAGACTTCAATTCCTGCTGCGCAATGAGGTTAAGAGGTTCAAAAAGTTACTTGGGGGGAAGAAAAAAAGAGGCACTGAACAGGAGACAGAGGCCAGGCCCCAGGATTGTAAACCTTATCTCTGTAGGCAAGTGTAAACTTGGAATAAACCAAGACTGTTTCCACGCACTAGACTTTGTTTCCTCCCAATTCACAGATCCTCACCTTCAGTCATTTGCTGTGCATACGACCTCACATTATCAGAAAAGCACTGACAAAGGGTTGACTGATCGTAAAAAGACAAACAAACCAAAAAAAAAAAAAACCACCCAGGCTGTATCTACCCATATCTTTGACTCACAATCTTAACACACTGATAGAACCTAAAAGAAGTGACAAGAGCCAACTGTAGCCAACCTATAGAGTCCTCCTCTGAGTGCACAGTACTCACTCAGAGCAAGTTCAGCACACCCAAGAAAGATTTCCGTCCATTGCTGCACAAGACTCCACATTTCACCAAGAATTCCTTCACAGAATCATAGAATCATTTAGGTTGGAAGGGACCTTTCAGATCATCGAGTCCAACCATCAGCCTAACACCGACAAAACCATCACTAAACCATGTCCCTCAGCACCACGTCTGCCCGGCTTTTAAATCCCTCCAGGGATGGTGACTCCACCACTGCCCTGGGCAGCCTCTTCCAAGGCTTGACAACCCCTTCAGTGTAAAAATTGTTCTTAATATCCAATCTAAACCTCCCCTCGTGCAACTTGAGGCCACTTCCTCTTGTCCCATCACCTGTTAATTGGGAGAAGAGACTGACCCCCCCTGGCTACACCCTCCTTTCAGGGAGTTGGAGAGAGCCAGAAGGTCTCCCTTCAGCCTCCTTTTCTCCAGGCTGAACACCCCCAGCTCCCTCAGCTGCTCCTCAAAAGGCTTGTGCTCCAGACCCCTCACCAACTTTCTTGCCCTAAATAGCCCCTGCAGAAGAACACACACCCACCCCTCCCAGTTTGCACCAGAAAGGGAAGAAATTTACCACACAGACCCTCAACTGCTTTTACAGAGAAGGCACCTCACAAGGATGTGGCTGCAGAAGGCAAAGAGTAGATCATAGGCCTGTATGTACATGCCATGCAGAGCTCTGGCATCATAACTCAAAGACAGACCCCCCAAAGACTAGTAAAGGACACGAACAGAACAGGCTGGGTTGCTCCAGAAAATGCTGGGGAAATGGGATGAACTGGATGGCATTTCTTGCCCTGTCCAGGCCCCCTCCTGTTAGTCAGACAGGGGCTTGTTAAATTTGCTAATCTTAAAAACCTCCAACAAGGAGTTTTTCTGCTCTCTCTCTCTCTTACGAATCCACTTCACTACACTGAGAGGGAGCAAATCTGGGTTTTTGCCCTGTTTTACATCCATTTCAAAGCAATTTAAGCCCCTTATTTCTTGTTCTGCCTCCAGAGCCCAGCAGAAAAATTTATCTCCTTTTCTCAGCAGCTATTCTCCACGTGTTTAAAGTCTTCTGGCTGTCCTTAGGCATCTCTAGACTAAACAGTTCTCATTCCTTTACTCTTTCCTCATAAATCCTGAGCAAATTTCTTCCAATCACCTGTCTTATTCCCCCACTAGACTGTCAGTCTGGTTAATGCCTTTCCATGTGACCCTGCTCCAAGAGTTTGCTTATTATGGGAAGATTCATCTTCAAGGACTTTTTTTCCCTCTGAACAACACCAAGATCCAAAGAAATCACCCTAATTTAAGGACCAAAGGTGAACAGGGAAGTGAGGGGCAGAGGAACTGAGCTGTCAGGAACAGGGGAATTTCTAAAGCGGATGAGAGAAAATCCTGAGGAGAAGCTTGTGTGTAAAAAGCAGCTTTTCTTGGGTGTCTGCAATTTGACTTCCAGGATTTGCTGCTCAAAATCCCTTCTGAAGTTTAGACACCTAATGCAGACTTTCAGTAGGACCAAATGGCTCATTTTTGTTGTAATGCCTGGCTGGAGGACACACCAGCCTAGTGTGTCTTGCAAGCAAATGCAAGACAGATCCAAAGCTTTCTTCACCTGGAAGTGGGGCCCATTCCTCCTCCCTCAATGATGTTGCAGCACAAGCCAGGAAGGAAAGGCCGAGGTTAGAGCAATCCCCAAGAGGAAAGACACACAAGGTCTCCTCTTCCAGGAACTGCTTCTCGATTTATCCAGCAATTGCTGAGAGATTGTGCAACCCTGTGTTACGGTACCTGCATCCTGGCTTCCCACTTTGAAGCAAATATTCCAACTGTTGGCTTTGGGTCAGGCTCTCTTTTTCCTCTAACAGTCTGGAATGATGATAGGTAGGGAGGAAGTGAGGACAGGTTTTAACTACTATTTTTGAGTGATTGAAGTGGATATAGTACTGAATGGTCAGGGGATGCAGCTCCACACTGACTTACTATGATTGTAGGCACAGAACCAGTTCAATCATTAATTTTTTCCAGCCAGGTCTAGCACTTTTGCCTTCACAGCTTGCTGAAAAGCCGTGGAAACCAAACCAACAGACTGTCACCTTTTCCAAGCCTTGCCAACCTTCCTCCATCGGGATGAGGAAGGTGACACAGCACTCCGACGTACCCCAAACATCAGCCTACCTCTCTCTGCAACCTGGCAACTCGCCTTCACCACAAAGGACTCCTTGCCCTCACTGTGCTGGCACCATGGCCATGTGAAGATCACATTTCCAGATGGATGACGTTCCCTCAGCCCTGCCTGCCATCCCCGGGGACCCCCTAGCCAGCTCCTGAGTGTCTTCTCCTCGCTATTTCATCTGTTACTTCCATGAGGCGCTGGGATAGGAGAGCAGGGGATGCTGTAGGGCCTGACTGATGTGGTGGTCCCTGTGTCGGCTGGGATGGGGCATCCCCAAAGCCTGGGCTGGATACCAAAGTGTCCCATGACAGGACCAGACTGGGCCCAAGCTGAGAGGGACAGCCCCCCAAAAAACCCCACAAAACCCATTAGACGGTGATACAATGTCCTGGTTTGAGGCAACACACAACAAGGCTGGGGCCTGGCGACACACACACAGGTTCCTCTTAACACCTTGAGGAGGGTCCCCAAGGCCTGGGGCTGCCTCCCAAGCTGTGAAGGGGCCCGACCACCCCGTGAGGGCTACAGATCCCCTCAGGGCCACCCCCAGGCTGGGGTCCAGCCCCCAGGGCACCCCAAATCCTCTCACACACACCCCCCCAAATCTCTTGGAGACCCCCTGGGCGCCGCCGCCGCTCCCTCCCCTCACAAATCCTGAAGCCGGGGTGAGGGGACACCCCGCGGCCCCCAGCCCCGGGGTCCCTCATCCGACCCCCGATCTCAGCCCTGTCCCTCACCCCTCCGTCTGCCCCCAGAGCCTCTCCCCGGCCCCGCACCTGACCAGCAGCTCCAGGAACACCACGTTGCTGCAGCAGCCGCCGAACACCAGCCCTACCGCCACGGCCGGGTGCATGGTATCGCCCTCAAGCAGCCAGGCGGCCTCCCCGGCCGCCACCGCATCCCGCTCCCGGGCTCCGGCCCCGCTCCCGGCTCCGGCCCTCGCCGCCCCCGCTTCCTCCCGGCCGCCGGTAGTTCGCTCCCCGCCCGCCGCTCGTTCACCGACACCGAGGGAACTCCAGAGCCAGGACTACAACTCCCAGAAGGCCGCGCGATGCCGCCCTACTGCCTCCCTCAGGTAGTGCCGTCCCGCGGGGCATGACGGGAGTTGTAGTTTCGCCGTGGGGGGGCGGGCGGTAATGGCGGCGCGGGGCCTGGCGCTGGGGTGGCGTGAGGAGAAAGGGGAAGGGAGGTCAGCTCAAACGCTGCTTCGCCGCAGAGGAACAGCCGCTAATTGCCGGTTTGGATTTAGATAGCGAGATTATTGCTTCGGTGTGAAATCGAGCTTGCCTGAGGCCTGTGGCAGAGCCTCCTGGGAGGTCCTGCCATGCTCTCAAGGCTGCAGCCAAGCCACTGTGGTCAATGCCACCATGGCTGGTGGTGGAAACACTGGATACCGAGGCAGCAAAACTGTGTCTGAAAAGCAATTGTGTGTTTGGAAGGAGATATGGGGTCCCAGGAGGGTCCGGGAAGGGGAGAAAGATGGAAAAGGTGCCCAAATGGTGGTGTTGGGGTGGCCTGGGGACAGTGTGGGCCCAGGACTTCACAGGGCGAGATGGAGGGAAACAAGAACCTGTTCAGAACAATGGACGAGGCGGCCAGGACACGTCAAGGTGAGAGAAAAGGGTACTGTGATTCTGGAAACAGAGGGTTTGGGTGGCTGGGGTTATTGCTTTGGAGACAAACGGCACCCAGAGGTGCTGCCCCTACACCGACTGCAGTGACACAGTTATAAATTTGCCTATGTGACTGGGTATTTTGGCTTCTCTTGTCAGAATGAAGACAGCGCCCTGTCAAGTCAGGGTAAAAACATTAATTAAACCAGCAAAACCACTCCAAGGATCTAGCCCCAACATATAGACTCTCCAGGACTTTCTGTAGGACTTAATACAGTGTCTGTGGCCCCTCTGGTTTTATTTTGTCGCTATTAGATGGTGGTGTTGCCCTGTTACTCCTTATCCCTATTTCCTGAAGTGTGTTTTTGCATTCTTGCAGTTGAAGCAATTAATATTTGCTGCTGTTAATGTGGCTGCATATCAGTTGGGATGAGGCATCTTCTTTTCTGAAGTTGTGTGGAGAGCCCAGCTAAGTGTCTGTCAAAGCCCTCTGTGATCAGTGGAAGCCATATTGATCAAAAAGTGGGATTTTCATGCTGCAGATATTTCATTTTGGTTTTAATAAAATTTTGATCTGAACCAGACCCAAATCTTTTTTTTTTTTTTAACTTAAAATACCACAAGTGTGAAATCCCATTAACACATTGCAAAGAACTATGCTAAGTCCAAAAATGAAGCGTTTCTTTCATGTTTTCCAGCTTTTCAGGGAATGTGACAGCCTTGGCAGCTTCTCTGCTGCTAAAAGCAGCTAATGACAGGGGCAAAACTGCCAGGATTGGCCATTTCTTTTGCTCACTGTGAGAGTTTTTAGGCTCTTCGTCTCCAAGCTGGAGATCCCAGGGTTCCTGGCTCCTTACCTGGGGAGTGGTTGGAGCATGTGTCCTCAGGGGTAAAATGAGCTATGGCTGAAAACCTGGAAACGTGAGAAAAAAATCTTATGATTCTATGAAACTATTGCAACGACACCCAGGAATCCTTGGGTACCTTGTGGGTAGAATTGTTGAATGGTTGGGTTGGAAGGGACCTTAAAGATCATCCAGTTCCAACCACCTGCCATGGGCAGGGACACCTCCCACTAGACCAGGTTGCTCAAAGCCCCATCCAACCTGGCCTTGAACCCCTCCAGGGATGGGGCAGCCACAGCTTCTCTGGGCAACCTGGGCCAGGCTCTCACCACCCTCACTGTAAAAAATTCCTTCCTGAATCTTCCCTATTTGGGCTTAAAATGTTCCCCCTTGTCCCATCAAGAGTCCCTCCCCAGCTTTCCTGGAGCCTCTTTAGGGACTGGAAGGGGCTCTAAGGTCTCCCTGGAGCCTTCTCTTCTCCAGGCTGAACCCCCCCAACTCTCTCAGCCTGTCCTCCCAGCAGAGGGGCTCCAGCCCTCCCAGCATCTCCGTGACCTCCTCTGGTCCTGCTCCAACAGGTCCCATGTCCTTCTGCTGTTGGTGGCCCCAGAGCTGGAGGCAGCACTGGGGGGGTCTCCCCAGAGCAGAGCAGAGGGGTAGAATCCCCCCCTGGCCCTGCTGGCCACGCTGCTGGGGATGCAGCCCAGGATGCAGGGGTCTTTCTGGATTGTGAGTGTACTTTGCCAGCTCATGTTGAGCTTCTCATCCACCAACACCCCCAAGTCCTTCTCCTCAGGGCTGCTCTCCTTCCAGTCCCCACACAGCCTGGATTTGTGCTTGGGATTGTCCCAACCCTGTGGTCTTTTGAAAAAAACATCACAGACCAAAAGGATCTGGGGCCTCCCTTGTGGTGTTTCCAGGAGTTTCTGCTTGGGGTGTACCCTCCAGGAGGATGGTTTGCCAGAAAACAACACTTTGGGGGTCCAAGCGTCTGGGAGACCCCCTGGGAGCCCCAGCACTTTTGCTGAGCTCTTGCAGTGTATTTGGCAGAGGTTCAATTGTTCCCCCGTCTCACCAGACCTTCCAGTGTTTTCTGACCTGGCTCGGGGTCAGAAAACGCTTCGACTGACTTCCTTGGTCTTCCCATCGAGTCCTTTTAAATGGTTTATATATTATTAAAAAGCACCACGGCTCATTAGCAACAAACAAAGGCGATGGCTGGGGCTCGCTGGCACTTTGTAACGTCTCCAGGGTTTCCTGCTTCCACCTCCTCAGCCGCTGCTCAGGTCAGAATGATCGATTTCTTCTCTTCCCTTCACTAATAAGCTTTTGCTACCTTGGGTGCTCACTTTTTCGCCTTTCATTGGCTTTCTTTGTGCTTCAAAGGTGGGGGTGGGGGGGAGAGCTGAAGTTGTTTTTCTGCCACAATAAATGTGCCGCACCTTGGTTCCTAAATGCATTAAAGCCGCAGAACAAATTGCTTCTTTTGAACCGCCCCGGCGCAACAGTAAAACCAAAATGTCAGCTTCATAAAGCATTTTGAGCTGTTCATTGTGGCCTGGCACCTCTGGGAGGGCAGCCGTGTCTGGGCTACTCAGTATTTAACATCCTTTCTGATCTTGTAACTACGAGGCAGGTTCTAGGATGAATTGTCTGGCTTGGTCTGGTGAGTTTTTGGTCTAATTCTTAGAGGGTGGAGGGGTTCATCACTGCTAAAAATTCCAGGTCACTTCAATATGGGGCTGGAGATGGAGTTGCTGGACTTGCCCTTTTTCCCCATGAGTGGGAAAGTGGGGTGAGATTGGAGTAAGTTTGTAAAGACCCAACGTGCCCAGCTCCTCGTTTACAGCTCGGTGTATTCGCCCCAAGGGTTGCCAGTCACAGATCCAAGATCTAATGGTGTCCATACAGCAAGACCCGGTCAGGTTGGAGAGCTGGGTAGAGAGGAACCTGATGAAATTCAACACGGGCAAGTGTAGGGTGCTGCACCTGGGGAGGGATAACCCCCTGCACCAGGACAGGTTGGGGGCTGACCTGCTGGAGAGCAGCTCTGAGGAGAAGGACCTGGGAGTCCTGGTGGACAACAGGATGGCCATGAGCCAGCAATGGGCCCTTGTGGCCAAGAAGGCCAATGGCATCCTGGGGGGCATCAAGAAGAGTGTGGCCAGCAGTCGGAGGGAGGTCATCTTCCTCCTCTGCTCTGCCCTGCCCTGCCCTGGTGAGGTCCCATGTGGAGCACTGGGTCCAGTTCTGGGCTCCCCAGTTCAAGAAGGACAGGGAACTGCTGGAGAAGGTACACCAAAGGGCTGCAGAGATGATGAGGGGCCTGGAGCATCTCCCTTATGAGGAAAAGCTGAAGGACTTGGGTCTTTTTAGTCTGGAGAAGAGAAGGCTGAGGGGGGATCTCATCAATGCCTATAAATACATAAAGGGTGGTTGTAAAGAAGATGGGGCTTGTCATTTTTCAGTGGTACCCAGTGACAGGGTGACAAGAGGAAATGAGCACAAACTTGTACATAAGAAGTTCCATCTCAACATGAGGAGGAATTTCTTTCCTGTGAGGGTGGCAGAGCCCTGGAAGAGGCTGCCCAGGGAGGTGGTGGAGTCTCCTTCTCTGGAGACATTCCAAACCTGGCTGGACATGTTCCTGTGGGACCTGCTGTAGGTGGACCTGCTTTGGCAGGGGGTTGGACTAGATGATCTCCAGAGGTCCCTTCCAACCTCATATCATTCTGGGATTCTGTGATTCACTCCCATGAAAATAAAAAATAAACCCATTCGAAATTCAGTTCACACCAATTCTATGGCATCGAAACGAATGACAAAACAATGTCAGAAAACAGAAAGAAAAAATAAATACCATTAAAAAAGTAATTTAAAAATCAGTTCACCTTCACTGTATGGAAGGGTGGACACGTGGTGATGCCGGTGGAAGCATCTGAGGAGCAAGAGCTATTTCCAAGCCCTGTCTCTCTACCAGGAGTGAATTCCACCTCGTTGGCAATGTGGCTGGGTTGTCTTGCACACCAGGAATGGACTGCATTGCTCCTGAGGCCCTGCTCTTGCAGACAGGATGGTCTGAGGACGCCGACAAGATGAGGTTTGAAGGTCGAAATAATATAGCTGGAAAATGAAATAAGCTTTCAGCTATAGGACAAAAGTTTTTCTTTACTGCCCAGGGCTTATCTGTTATTTTCCAACAACAGCAGATGCTCTAATAAAAGATATTACTTCTACATACAAACTTTGTCTTGCATCAGACGGTGTTATTTTGATTTTCTTCAGAGGTGGCTGAAATAAAACAAAACAGGTTTTCACATCTCGGAAACACTGCCCAAAACGGGGGTGGCCTTGTCTTCTCTATTACAAATCTGTAGCATTTTGAGGTTTGAATTTTGAGCATTTTTGGGTTCCCGACTTCTGAAATGCTGTTCAAAGCAAAAGTGTGGATTCTTGGTGCTCTGGGTTTGTGTTGAGTTACCGAGGGCATCAGAAATCCTTCCTTCAGCTCTGCCCGAGGACCATGTTGTGGAAAA